GAAGAGTCCAGCCTGGCTCGAGGTGGCATCCACAGCAGACGACAGACAGAAGTGGAAGACGAGACTAAGTACATGGAGGTCTGTGGCAGAGAGGGTCCCAGTGGACCTGATCCTGGTCACAACTACAATCCTGATGTCAACCTGGCATGTTTCCCCTGCCCTGCTTCTGCACCTCTGGGCTGCTCACCATCTACTTAAGAGCATGTTTGCAAGGAGTGGTCACTCCTGAGGGCAAAATACACACAAAATACTTAGTTTTATTGGAAAAGTCAGATTGACAGAGAGAAAGAGAGATAGAAAGATCTACATGTGCTGGTTCACTTCCCCAAGTGGCTGCAACGGCCATAGCTGAGCTGATCCGAAGCCAGGAGCCAAGAGTCAGGGACTTGCATTTTGAACCTCTGATATTCCTTCCCTTCATCACAGCTTAAAACACAAGTGCTCCCCATGGATGAAACTGTGTTTGAACAGAACTTTATTAGGGAAAAATGGATACGGAGATCTGAACTGAGGCTGGCTGAGAAAAATATTATCCTTGATTACTCCTTCACTGGGTCATATAGCTAACATCATGATATAATGAGACAGGCGTGGGGCCCTTCCTAGAATGGTAACTTAATGAGGAGAATTTCACATATTTTTTAGGTGAGGAAAAGACACAGAAAAGGCAAAGCGGAACTCTGAGCAGGGATGTGCAGAACATATTTGCGTACATTGTTCTCCACTTACAGCCAGATAGCTCCCCTCGCCTAGGTTTTAACTGGTTTGCAGATAATACATAAACATATTCTCTTTCATTTGCAAACTGAAAGCTTAAAAGGATATTTGCACTTTACAGCACATCAGGGCCTACTTTGTAGGATTAGAGTGTGGAGCTATCAATATTGACCTTATCTGTACCAAAGACTGTTATATTAGGATGTCAAGGAAATGTACCAGGTTCATATAAAAACAAATCCTTCAACATTCAATAATCCAACTAGGCAGCCGGGACTTTGTTTTATAATCCTTTCTTTCAGTGCTTTGTTGAGTATCATACACGACAATGAACCTGCAGTAAAAACAACACTGATATTTTAAAATTACACCTTCCTCTGCTGAGAACCAGAGGGAGAAAGGCACACATTTGCTAAAGGTGCTGCCTGGATACACTTCATTTATGCAGATTTCGGGTTAATTGATAGGACACACAGACAAGGGTTCTACAAACCATTTTACTGAGCATACATCCTGATTATAATGTCATGTAAAGAAATGAAGTGCAATCTGTCTTCGTGTCACATTTAATAGATTTCTAGTAAATAGCTCACAAGTGCTCGTTCTAACAGGTGATGAATTATATTAATGTCCTGTTGTACTTTCATAATTAAGGGTCTGGCAGCATTTCCATTATAATCAAGCCTTAAGGTAGGGAACAAAAGGAGTGGCTTCCATGTTTCCTGGCCCAGAATCAAGGGTTGCTCCCAAGCCCCCCTGCTCCTTAGGGTCTTGGCAGCCTGGGGTGGGGGTGGTGGGGAGAAGGTGGGAAAGAATACATCTTTGAGGCCAGTCCCGGAGAAACACCTGAGAGGTTGGCTAAGTTTTTATTTAGTGTGCATTTCTATCCAGGCACTTCCTATCTTTTCCTGGCTTGCTGGCCCTTTCAACCAGCCTCTGCTCTCCCTTCTTTCCTATTCTGTCACAGAAGACCTATTCTCTTTCATCTGCGCTGGACCCGATGACATTGCTTTGATGTCACTTCCTTCGCCAGAGAGGCTGCAGCTCTGCTCTTTCCTCCGGATGAAACCTGGGTGCCCTTGTGTTGGAACAGCACAGCTGCCAGTGCTCTCTATCTTCTGAATAACAATGAACAAACTTTGTCAACAAAAAGTCAAACTAAAAAGTCAAACTAAAAGTCGTAAAGGGAGAGGGAAATGTGGTTGATTGGCAATGTCTCCCTATAAAGGAGACATGAATTTACCAGTAAATTCAGGGGATAAAGCCAGAGCGTCTGCAGTCCATCCCAAGAGACCACTTCCAACTGTAAGGATTGTGGAACATCTGAGCCGGCAAGCAGAGGGGGGCCGAGTCCCGGCAGGACTGGAAATTGGCACCTCACTGTGTTCCCTGAGCCATTCTGGGTGGATGCCTCATGCTCTGCCGGCATCCCACTAACACACCAGAAATGGAAATGGAAGAGGCTGGGCAAGGCAGGAAATAGCAGAAGTTTTGGGAGAGGCAGGAGGTAGACGAGAGAAGGACACGACGGAAAGCAGGTGGGAAGTAGGCTCTGGCTTACGTTAACTTGTTTCCAACCAGCAAAACAAATGTGGGTTCATACAAGAAGAAACACAGGGCAGTCCACTCTGCCCCTCTCAATTAAGTGCTTTGTGATAACTTCTTTGCCATTTCCTCACCCCTTCTGATTTCTCTTGCAGCAGAGTTTGTTTGGGGAGCCAGCAGAGCCTTGTGGGGTCAGCCAGGTCATTTGAGTTCTTAGCTCCTCACAAGCCAGTTCTATCACACTGGGTAAGCTTACACTGATGCAGATCTTAAGAGGGTTAAGTTTGGACATTAAAAACACTTTCGAAGAGTTATAATCCCATTTCCATTCCCCTAAAAACCTTTCGAGCTATTAAATTCTATAAATTTAATTATGCTGTATGTTACGTACAGCATAAATAACACTTAATCCTCATTTTTGCAGAATTGATTCGCAATAAATTAGTCTTAACAAGTGAGTGTATACAGTTGGGATGACAGTACTAACAAAGGTGATATCCTCTGGCAGATGAGGTCCCAGTCACAGCATCCAGGAAGCCTGTGAGTCGCTGGGACTTACTTGCAGTACAACACACTACACTCCTTGCTCAAACTCAAGCACAACTCTGTTTCTTGAAACCAAAACAGCTTGCCATAACTGAATCAAAGTCAAATGAAACTTTAGAAAATGGTTATCATACACCTATACTCCTACTGGTTTTGCATTAGAACTACCCAGCCATAAAGGAGAAAATATAATTTATTACAGTTTTAAGATAGATAAAAGATGTTTGAAGGTTCTAATTCACTTCAAAACACAGTAAGGATACTGTGCATAGAATTTTCCTTGTGCATTTTTGGGCAACAGGACATGTGCTTTGGTTGCTGAAGTTGCAATATACTTTTATAGAACAAAAGCATCGCAGCAACCTTTCCTAGAAAATCAGAATGAATTAGTATGTTGTATACGGTAACCTACTATGTCATCATGCCAAAAGTTTGACCAATTCCTTTTCATGGAAGTTTGAAAATGTCAGGTTCATTTTTAAACCCATGGCTAGTTTCATCCACTTTAAACCAAAAGTGACAAAACAGGAATTGACTGGGGGGAAAATTCTGCAGTCCGTTGTTCTTAATATTTGATAATCCATGTGAAACAGGTTTACCAAAAACTACTGTGACAGACCAAAGATGACAGATAAACTCCTGTGACCAAATTAATTGGAAATAGATGCCTCAGTCTTGTGATCCTCTTTCAGTTTTTGAAAGAATTCTATGCACCTTCAGAGCATATCTCGTCGAAGGGTGATTAGTCCTTGCACTGCTGGCATCAGGCGGATATGGCATGCAGCCAAGGGTCTCAAGAGAAAGTTCAGTGGAGTGGTGCAAACTGTGGAACTATTCCAGGATCACCTTGGAGAACATTCTGGCTTTTCTGCTGAAGCCTTGTCAGAGTTTGGTATCTATTCTCTCTGTGTCTATGATGTGTATTATCAGGCTGCCCTAAATGTGGACCCTCATACACTGGTCTCTTATTTTCTTCACTTTTGCTATGGCACTCAGAAACATATTTCTCAAGGCATTTTATCAGGCCATCTGTATGCACATTTCTTTTTCCAACATTATTATGATTTATATGTCAACATGATCTCACACTAAACTATGCCGACTAATTCCAGAGGGAACTGTTAATGTTTTCCATTTTTCTGAATAACCTAACACCATCTAAGCATAAATGGTCAACAAGCTATGTATTTGCAGCTAGTTAAAGAAGATTGTTAAATACTGAATAGGGGGGAAAATACAGTGTAAGTGACAAAGTATCATTTAAATTGGTATTTTAAAAAACTGGATTTTCTTCATAATTATTCAGTGGATGAAAAGAGAACAGCAAAGAGAAAAAAAATGAAGAAAACTGAGCTGGCTACTGGTCATTGCTGAAGCCAGACATTTTACAAAGGAGCCTCATTATAGCTCTTTGAAGAGACTTTTGTAAGTTTGAAAAGTTTCACGATCAAAAATATTTCAAAACATAAAACCTAGCAATGTTAGAAAGTTATATTACCTAATGTGCTTGAAATAAATTTATTTTTCCTGGCTTGAGTAATCTACTGTCTTATCAATACTGAATCGACTCTACAAGTAACCATAATAAATTTAGGAGATTAAAAAAAAACCTCTGTAGCTGGAGTAAATATTCCAATGTCTAACACAGACAGGTGTCTGCCTCATCAAACCACTCAAAACAACAATACCGAAAAAAAAAAAAGCTGAAATAAACAATTACGCTAACAGAAACACTTTGTTAACATGGTTTACCACCCATGAACTCTTGCCTAAATATCTGAATTTTTCTTCAGGGAAAGGAGACAAGAGGTTCAACAGGTGGATCAGAGCCTGCAGAGCTTCGGCCAGGTCCTGTTCATCTGCCTGCCTGTCGCACAACCCGAAAACAAAGCTTCTGTTGAGGGGCACCTTTTTCTACTGCTTTTAAACTAAGATTAATTTACAACCAACATGTCCAAAGCCAAGAAATTTAGTGCTACTCGGCATATATCAAATAGATTCTGTGTAGGGTCTAGGAAAACTAGAAAATAACTTGTGAATGACCTCAGAATTGAATAGCAGCTCTGGTTAGGCTAAACAAGGAATACATCTATGCTTCCCAGTATTTTAACAATAGAACACGTTCATAGTGCTTGATTTAACACGGCACATATTAGATAAGACCGAATAATGATGATAACTAAAAGGATTATATTTATATTTCTTGGAACCTTCTGTCTAAATATGTGTTAAAATATTGTTACATTTAACGTTTATATGTTTGAAAATACACAAAAATTTTAACAATGATAACTTTCACACTCACAAATTATTGCAATAATATCATTAAGTATTTCTAATGAGTCAGGGTCATTTTTAATGTATTTCTTCCTTATTTAAAAACTTTAAAAATAAGGATCAAGTGACAAAAAAATATTTTAAGTTCTCTTCTTAAAATATCCTATATGTGACGCAGCTACAACAGCCTGAATTCTGCCACTAATCTGAAACCATGTAATTCTATATCCAGGAGTCTTGAAATAGATCACCACTTTGTTCTAGTTGCAAAAAACAGATCAGTAGTACGGGAGTTCACTGCTTAACATGTTCCCTCCACTTTTGTATTTTAAAAAGTTTTTCAATGATTTCTCTTGAAGATGTTATACAGGGTGCTAATACTTTCATAAGCACAATCAACACCTTTGGAGAACACTGAAAAATCGATGGGGATTGAATATGCTGCTACAAGTAGAATTTTGTAAGTAGTTTCTAAATAGCAGTGATATTATTGTGAAGGACAAAATAAATGATTCTGTGAAAACTGGAACAATGGTTCTTAAAGAACATTTACTACACATGAATGGAACATCAAGCACCCAAAGAGCAAGCTCTATTAATAATGCATCACATTTGAGTGTTTAGTTTTTAAACATGAACAACTTCCTTAAATGGATTAAAACAATGAAATGATTCATCAAGATATGGTAATGCATTTGAAGCTTTTGATCCATTAATTAAAAAGAAAAATGAAAACCAACAGGTGGCCGATGCTGTTTAGCTTCCCGCAGGTAACTGCCCATCTTGGAATTTAACCACCCATGCTAAATGCTTTCATAGACTGCAATGAAATGAGACAAAGAAAGAATCTTGGGGCAGGAAGCCACGTCAAGCTCATACCTGAGAGTGAAGAGGATAAATCCAAATGCCACCTTCACTTCAGGCCTCTTTGCTCACATGGGCATTTTCATCAGAACATTTTAATAAGTGAGTATGTAAGAGTTTATGGGATTTCAAGGTCCAGTAACAAAGGCACAGTACAACTTTTCAAATGAAGAAGAATATGAACTTTGTTAAGTTCCTCGCCATGGTTCTCCCTTTGGAACTGGTCTTACGCTTCTATTAAAAAAAAAAAATCTACCCCAGTGGGCTCCAGGACTAACTGCTGTGGTTCTTTCCGCTCCTCCCTGTTAACCCTTTGCCATAACTCTAAGAAGGAGGATCTGTATTGCAGAAAGGTAACTGGTCAATGTGTTCTAGGGGTGAAACATTGAGAAGAAAGAGTTTTGCTTTCTCTGACGTGGGGCGGCTTTCCTTCGGAACTCTGCTGTGACAGAAGGGTGAGGTCACTTGAATCTCTGCTTAGCACCTTCCCTTCCATCCCATTCCCTTTAGCCTGGTGGACAGAACAAGAGCTCCTGATACATAGACAAGGCCAGAAGGTGCAGAGAAGTGTAGCTCTTCCCCCCAGCAGGCTCACTCATTCAAAGATTGGTATTTAAAGACAGAGACCTATTTGGTCCTTATGCCAAGACAAAAGCAAGTGTGTGTGTGTGTGTCTATGTGTGGGTGTGAATTAGAGTTTTATGATAGGTTCTGGAATTCAATATGGTCAATCACTTATCAGTGTAATAATTATTCAGTGAGTAGTTATTAAAGGAGAAAACTTGGAAGCTAGTTACCATAAATCTGAATTCTAGATCCATCAGTTAAGAACTGAGGCAGTTTCTGTGCCTTAATTTTCTCATCTGTAAAACTGAAACAATGATAAGTAGTATTCTTAATTATTAGCAGACTATTAATAATAACCTCCAAGTGAGTTTGCTTTGAAAATTCATAAAGCTGACAAATGTGACATTGTTAAAATAGCACTGGTACAGAGCAGGTACTCAATGTACATTAGTTATTATTAACAGTAATTCAAACAGGCAGTCAGACTTCCACACCTCTGGCCCTAGTACAATGCATTCCTGCTGAGCAGTTTATTACAAAATTGGATGCAATGCCTGTACTTCACAACAAAGAACAGCTGCTGTTGTCACTAGCAGCAGATGCTACCCGAGCTTTTACTCTGAATAACCCACAGCCCTGGCTAAGGACCCAAACAGAATCTTGGGGTCACATCCTAACTGCTGACAATGCCAAGGAGTAGTGGTCACTAAAGTCACATCCAGTGGCAGTGAACACACCTCATTCACATGGGTGGATTCATATTACTTCAGCCTCAATCCTCCCAAGTTCATGGGAAGTGCTGGAACTGAGGACGACAGCAAAGAAAGGGTACTGCTTGTGTTAGAACACTCTGGAAACCTGGAGAGAGGCAAGGAACAAATCAGCTTCTCCAAACCAGAGTTGTTTGAAGATACTCCTTTCCAGAGGCACATCTATAAAATGTCTCCTACTTTTTCCATTTCCTGGATTGCTATGATGTCAAGGATTGCCTAGGGAAGGTCATCTTTGTTGAGACAGATTGAAGAGAGTGCCCCAAAGAAGGATTGGTGAGTGGTGGCTGGAGTTGTACACAAGGAACCCAGCTGCAGATGCAAACGTAGAGAGGCTAACACTGATGGCCAGCTGGGCAGCAGCATCAAGACGGAAACAGTCGTGTAGGGATCGGGTCAAAACGACCAAGTCAGATCACTCTGCTGGCACCTGCAGAAAAGTGCAGGGAATCGCAGTTCTGAAGCTGGACAACTATGTGGACTGAAGGATGGAAACATTCAGTGTTCAGTGGATAGGAAAGCTAGCTTCCCTAGGGCTCCCTTAGGGCTCCCCTAGAGCTCAGTGAGGGCCCCCGTAGGGCTCTGTGAGTTCTGGGGCGACAGAGAACATGCTGAGGGAAGCAGCACCATCAGGAGCGGAGGCCTGCACGGGGGAGGCCAACATGCCTAGAAAGCTCCCTGTGTTTTCTCCTGTTTCTTTTTCTTTCTTATTCTTTTTTTTTTTTAAGGGAAGGACAATCTGCATTAGTTTCTTTTAAATAGAAGAGTATTGTCCCATACTCCTAAATCAGACTTCTCTACTGTACTTCACTCTCCAGTACAGAGTGAATCCCCCCTAATACATACAGTATACATAATGCTGGTTTGGGAGCATGGGAGGGAAGATGGTGTAGCCTTCACCTAATCACTGTACTTTTAAGCAGACTGGGCTGCAGCACAGAGAAAACGGGGCTGCCTTTGCTGTGGCCAGTTTGTAGACAGGCTGTGTTCATCCTTCCTTTGATATCTAGCATTATTTGTCCAGGGAAGGAAAAAAAAAACAGTACTGCAAGCTTTATCTGTTGTTTTATAATATCCATTCATCGCCTTGGAGATGAGGGGTCAACTTACTTTATGTTCAGTGGTGTGCTGTATGAAACAGACTTAACATATCTAAACATATCATTCCATTGCTTAAGGCAAAGAGATTTAATCACAAAATTAAAAAAAAATAAAGTCTAGCTGCTAATGACAATACTACAATTTCTTTCACATGAAGAAATAAACATATACACGTTTATGTATATACATATATGAAATATCTGTACATATAAAATGAATTTTAAAGATATAAAATAAGATCAGATAGACGATCATGTACTGCTGGAATTCTCCATATACCTAACAAGAACAAGGTATAAACAAACTGCCTAATTATACAGCTTAATAATCAATAGTCAGGCTAGGATGGAACTAACTTTGTACTATGGATGGACAACCTGTCACCAACAAAAGATCTCCAACATGAGAAATGCAGTGTTAAATACATCGCCAAGCAAAGCATTTCAATGTGTCATATCAGAAAAGAATCCTGTCTCCTTGAGGCTGGAACTAGAATCAGAAAGCTGTTGGCCTTGAGAAGTGTGCATAAATAAAGCCATTGACTTATCCAACTGTGATACTGTTATTTTGATATTAAAAACCTTGACATTGTGAAGCAAACTTTCTGGTTAAATAGGAAAATTTACTTCAAGCCTAAGTACGTCTTGGGCCATGGTCATCATGGAAAATGTCAAACATAAACAAAACTAGAAAAATCAGGAATAATAACTTCCATGTATCTGTCCTTAGCTTCAACAACCAACCCAAAGCCAAATTTACTTCATATACATTCTAGTTACTCCCCGCTCTCTAACGGGCACAATGACCAGCCGGTTAAATGCGTGCCAAAGAGCATGGCAGCATTCTAGCGGGCCACTTCACCACAGCGTTCTCCAAAGGAATCCTTGCATTGTTGGTTTTCTTTTTTAAGGCACATGCCCTGCACTTTGCTCATGCCTAAACATATGTCTTTTGTGATTTCAGGATTTTTTTATACCCACGTGGGAACAGGGTGTTGAGGGAGAGTCTGTTGGATTGGCCTGGCAGGATGATGAGAGATCCATGGGGATTTTGGAGGTGTGATTTGTGACCCCACTAAATAGATAATCAAGTAAGAAATTATAGATACACAGACTTGCTGAAGTCCCACATATGGATATGTTCTAAGCAAAGCCACTAAATACATGTAGTTTATCTGACGTTTCTCATAGAACGTGAGAGCTCAATGCCAGTACTGAGGCTTCCACTTTCATATACGCTGATGAAGCAGCAGACAGCCGAGGCAATACCTTATGTATCTAAAAGCCTAAATAGGAACATTTCTTATCTTTTCCTTAAAATATTTAATCTATTAGAGTTCTTTGTTAGTGTTCTCCATTTTGTACTGACTTTCTATAATTGTAAAGTTTATTTTGAAAAGCATGATTATATATGCATTGTCATTATTCTTCAGGAATTTCTCCATTAAACCGCCTTCCCGTATCATGGTGTGGACCCGAGTAATTAAGCCATGGCTGTACTGAAAGAAGATGGCAAAACCCACCTAATGTTAGAGCCAGCCAGCCAGGGATAGATCCCAGCCTCTACCAGGATGGACTAAGATCCTCAAAAACATGTGTTTCCCTCAGAGTGGCCTAGATAGGGAATATAATTTTTTTTTAGAATTATTTTAGACCACTTCAAAATTATATTCATGGCAAATTCTGCATATTTTAAAATAAACATTAAAGGTAATAATTGTGTATCATTAATACAGAAGGCTGGGGAAGGATAGTAACACACATGTGTATATATGTACATGCTCAGCACAGAAAAAGAAAAAAGAAAAAAGAAAAAACAGCCTTCAGGTGAGGCTCTCAGGTACACAGCAAAAGGAGCTAATCCCATCTGCATCTTCATGCTTCCTAAATATCAAGTAGAGGACTTGACATGTTACAGATATTGAATCAACATTTGCTGGCTATTAAATGAATGGATAAATGGAGATGCAGGATCTTTTCTTAGTGAAGCTGTACCTACACACCACAGTCTAGTTGAGGAAACCAAACAGCATACAAATTATGAATAAGCAGCAACATGATAATGAAAGCCAAGACAAGGTGGGTAGAAACCAAGTAACTGCCCCAAACCAAAAAAGGAACAGCTTGGAATTAGAAGTTATGTAAATGAGCCTTAGAATCAGGTAGATTTGGGTGTACATTTCAGCAGAATAATCTTGGGCAAGTTATTTTACTTTATAGGTTTTAGTTTCCCTATCCGTAAAAGGCTTTCTCCCTTTCATATGTGTTGTCAGCATCTGTATTTTCCATAAATCAAACCACACAGGAGGCATACATACATGAATAATGGTAACAATAATAACAACATTATCACAGTGGCAACTGCCAGTGTGGTGTAACCAGAAGCTCTGGCCCATATCACTGAAGCTTCAGCAGGCAAGGCAGGTAACAAAAAGACGTGATTATTCTTAGTGCTGGAAAACGCAGACAGGTTCCTCCTAGCAGCATTACTAACACAAGAGTCTGCTTACAGCTGTACACAAATCACCTTCCTGTCTGTTTCAGAAACTCCACGAAGGAAAATCAACTCCTATTTAGATGGGACACTCAGAAGTAGTAGTAGAGTCTTACAAATAATAATAAGACATATTTGATTACTGCTAAAATTTAACAATATACTTGATGGAAAAATAAATTTCATATATACTATGCTCACATAGAAATGTTATTTTCAATGTTTTATTACGATTGATATAGCATGATCTCGAGACAATAAAATCTCATTAGATTTTAAGCTGCTTGCAGCTACCTGCATGATGATTCAGCGCATTATGCTAAGTGACTGGTTAAAAGCATTTAAATCAATCTGATATTCTTGAAGTTTTCTGTGAGTGAAAATAACATCCATTTAAAAAGATCTTGCAAAAATAATTTGGTTAAAAAAGGAAATAATGTCATAATAAATTATTTTGATGTTTTGGCGAGTGAGGCAAACAACAAAGGCCCTTGAATTGCAAGTACTCACAGGTGACAGTGAGCTACTTAAATCCTCCTGTGCTCACATTTCCCTCGGACTCATGATATTATGAAAGAGCTGTACACACATTGACTCAAGCAGTTTGCAAACAGAAATCCTCAAAGCATTAAATACTGCGCTGCAAAATACGCCACCTCTAAGCTATGTGTCACACAAAGGCTACAGGTGGAAAAATCATTCTCACGTGTGGCAGTAGGCTTGGCAACATTTCTATCTGTATCTGTGTCTAGATACAAAACCACTGCAGCTGCTGACTAGTTGTGATCTAATTTAGGGAAAGAAGACAAACAGAAACTAATAAGGATGGTATTTTGGGATGCTTTAAAGGAAAAATGCGTGAGAAGAAACCAGTCTACAAAATGGAAAATCATTGTTAATTAAATGATGCCATCATTATTTTTATTGCCCTTGTAATAACCAAAGTCAAATTTTAGATGGCTGAATTTGACTATTTTAGTAAATTAAAAGTGCACTTCTTTCAAATTAAGTATGTCTTTTGAGAAGCTCACTTTCAAGGCGTTACTTTGTGTGTGTGTGTGCATGTGTATCTTCAGTTAATACTTGTGGAGTTCTAGATTGTGACATCCTCACGGCTCCTGATGCAGGTGAACAGCCCATGGACACAAACCCCTTTGAAACCTGCAGATAAAGGCCAAGCAGGAGCTCGCAACTGAGACCCATGAGCCACGGTGCACGAGAACCAGCAAAACCAAAAAACAAACAGGCAAAAACCACAAAAATAAAACAACAGAGATCAAAGAGTAAAATCCCAAAGGACTTCTGGTTTTAGACTAAAAGCCACAAATTTATCAAAAACATTCATCTATTTCATAAAAAGGAGATTGAAAACATAGCAAAAATGAGCTACTACAAAAAAAACAAAAAGAAAAAAATAGCAGATTTGGCAAAAAGACTTATAATTTTTAGAAAGTGCAAACAGAATTTCGATGAAACAGCTTACAGAGCTGTAAACTGGAAGGTTGGTCAGAAGATGGCATGCTTTGGAGCACAGGCATGGATAATACAAAAGAGGAGATTGTCCCCATGAGTGCTACCAACGGGGGAAAGACAATGTTTGAGAAAACTATGACTGAAACTTTGCCCAAACTTATTTTAAAAAGCGAGTTCTCAAGTCTAACAGGCTTCACAAATAAATCAAAAGAAATACCTTAGGATATCACAGAATAACTTAAGAACACTAAAATAAAAAGATATTACCAACAGATGATTGGCAGTTCTCTCAATACTATGCAAGCCTGAAGACAATGGAATGAAATCTCAAAATACTGAAAAACACATTCTAATTTCTAGTATTATATTTTCAATATACATAGGATAACTATTATTTAAGAATCTAGATAAATTGAAATACGGATATTGATAAGATTATGTGTGATAATCTCACATTTCACATAGTGAACACAATTTGGCCTATTTTTGAATAAACTTAAAAATGTTATTCTAGATCCCAGCGCAGTAGCTTAACAGCAAAACTCCCCTTTTTGCATGTACCGGGGTCCCATATGAGCACCAGTTCTAATCCCAGCAACCCTACTTCCCATCCAGTTCCCTGCTTGTGGCCTGAGAAAGCAGAAGAGGACAGCCCAAGACCTTGGGACCCTGCACCCATATGTGAGACTGGGCAGAACCTCCTGTCTCCTGGTTTTGGATGGACTCAACTTTAGCCATTGCAGGCACTTGCAGAGTGAATCACCAGATAGAAGATCTTCTTCTCTGTCTCTCCTCCTCTCTGTATATCTGCTTGTGTAATAAAAATAAACAAATCTTTTTTAAAAAGGTTATTCTATTGAAACAATGAGGTAAGGATTTATCCATGTCCATATGTAAAAAAAGAAAAAGTTAATTGACTGATGAGTTGTGGCTGTTATGTTGTGGATTTTAATTGGTCGGGATGATATTCTGCCAGCTCTGCCTTCAGACCAGAGATGATCTCCCCAAGAAACCATTGAGTTTATCTGGACAATAAGATGCTGGACTCTACACTTACAATGAAAGAATCTTGACTGAATTTGAACTGTATTACTGCACCGAGGTGGAGGAATCCACCAAGGGGGAAGGGTTTGTGGAGGGGTTGGGGGAATCCCAGAGCCTATGAAAGTGTCACATAATGCAATATAATTAATAATTAAAAACCCAAAACTTGCCTGGCACATGTCATCAGGAAGCTATGTAAGGGCAGTGGGGGAATAAGGAAGAACATGCTACAGTGAAAAGCTAAGTGCCCAGCCAGAGAAAGAGGGCAACTGAGATCTCATCTGGAGGGTAAGGAGTGTTGGTTTTCTCCTCTATAAAAACGAGGGCTTTGGAAGGATCAATACTTTCTAATTGCTTCTCTAGCTTTAAATGTAGAAGCTATTGAGCTCAGTCATACAGGAGGCTGGTAAGGTTTCAGCCATCCACAATATCTGAACCAATAAGCTAACTAGGAAACAGCTCCAGACATAATGTGTAGCACATAATATCATACACCCCAGCAATATCTTCTCACTGATACTTGAGTTAGCTGGGGAGTTTGCAATCCCAGTTCCTCATTACCCAACCACAGGAGACTGGACAATAGAAATATTTGCTTTCAGCATTTGCAAAACCAATAGCTTATATTCCAGAAACATGCTATGCTGATGAGGGGACAGTAGGTGCCGGTCTCCTGGCCCTCTCAACAGGAACAAAGCAGATTTCTACAACAGCAAATATTCAATGACATCTTCGTAAGAAATTTTTCTTCCCTCTCTTTCACTGTGCTATTTGGAGACCAAATTGATATATAATAGGCACAAGCAATATTGTTAACAATTTTGCTGGCTGGTATTAGCTAGGATTTTAAAAAATTATTATTCCTCATGCAAAAATAAAATAGAAATCTGAAGATGCTTGTTTCCCTGGATACATCTGGACTGTGTGTGAGATTTCAGAGTCGCAGGGGAGGCCAGGACCAGCTCGTCCATCTTGGCCCAAAGCCTGGAGCAGAAGGTTCAGCAACAGCACTGCCATCCTGCCACACGCTTACCTCTTCTCGTTCAATTTTAGGAAGATAACATCTTGCTTCTTGGAAAAAAAGCGAAAGGCACTGGGAAGGAGAAGCAAGAAATACGGTGTGGATGGAGGTTAAATATCTGCCACGTAACAAATATAGAATCATTATAATATTTAAGGTCAAATCTGAAGCTGGTTTTCAAAAAACCTTTGGTGTATAAACAGCTACAAAATCATTTTCCCCTTTTTGAATGAGTTATTTGATTTCTGGTTAACTTTCCAGATCTGTTCCTCCGATCATTCCCCCACCTGATTGGACGCAGAGTACAATACGATGTGTAGAGTACAATAATGACCCCAGTCAGTAGATAGCAGGTCTACTTTGAGAAAACTGTAAATAAGTACCTGATGGGGCACAAGCGCTTTAGCTTCTGGAGATTAGCCATTCCTGTGGACTTCACACTCCCGGGGATGCTGGAAGACATGTCTACTGATTGTTCCAAGAGACAGCAGCTCTTGCGAATCTGAGGTTACTAAGCCAGGGACGCCTGCACCCGCTCTGCTTTCCTTTCGCCTGAGCCTTCACTTGGGAGGGGAGAGTCACCTCTGCGCTGCTGAGGAAGGCTCCACGACGGGGGCTCGAGGATGCTGCTCCTGGCCAGCTGGGGGCTCCTGCTTTTCATCCCTTTGCCTACACTGTGCCAGAGATGACCTACTTCGGCTAAACGCCTAGATGTCATTTGAGCCCAACAAAACTCCATGACATGCAAGTCGCTTCTGTACTTAATTTTTTTAAATTTTGTTTGGTTTTAGTTCTACATATAATCCAGGATAAACAACATTATTACTAAATTCATTAAAATCCATTTAAATAACATGAATTCTAAAATATCTAGAAAGTTCCCTGTGGCTGTTTTTTGGCAAGTGTACTGCAAAGTAGAAAAAAAGACAAAAAGGGAACCAGTGAAGTGGCTGAATTGACCTGGCTTGTTAACAGAGATGCTGAGAGACGAGGCATCAAGGGCAGCTAAGTTTTGGTTGGATAATGGTAGCATTATTTCTCAGTCAGGCAAGACCAGCAGAGGTTAAGAAGAATTAAATGAAAAACAGCGAGAATAAACAGCCTTCGACTTTGCACCTAAACCCACTGAAGAGGAAGTACTTAAAGAAGCTGCTGCAGAGAAAATCATGAGAATTCAGATCACCCAGTTGTATAAGCAGTTCCATACAGAACCTCTTTTACGGGAAAGCAGGGATGAGTGGAGAAGAAGCAGGATGGACAGGACAGAGTTTTAAATGTGCAGCACATCATGTGTTAAATTGAAACCAACCCCAAAGTTCAACTTTCCTCACTGTTCAAGGAGAAAATCCTTTACTATGTACTTCAGGATAAAAGATTTGCAACTATATGGTGCTTGAGAAATATGCTATTGCTGTAATTTAACTCACTGTATGTGGGCTTCAAGATGCACAGTGGCATTCCAAACCAACTTTTACAGAAAATTGCATGGAATTTTCAAGACATCAGGAGCGTTCTTAAAAGTTATGCAGAGAAAACGGATTTTTGATAGTTATGAATTACATTTAGTGCCGCCAGATTGCAGGGAACGCTCTTTTTGCCTCAGTATGGTTAGAATTACTGTTGACAGAGTTTTAATTTGGAAGAATATAGGTCACTGAATTTTCATTCACTGTGTAAGTACTACAACGGGCAGAAAGTGAGCTTTGTTAGTCAAGTCCAATCTTGGCCCCAGAGTCCATCTTTTCTGTGGTAGTTGGGAGTTGAGTATGTGTTAGTGAGAATAATTTGGCTCTCAGTCAGTCAATCAGTGGCCTGAACATGCACAGTGAGAAACCTGCTTGGCACAGAACAGAAGCTCGGTTCAGAGAATACTAAATGCATTTGTGGGAAAGACTCGAGGCCATACAAATCATACATTACAATCACAAGCCAGAAGAGATTCGATCCTTCCTAGCAGGTTGTAGATTTAGACAGATTTGTAATAGTTCAAAAATACACTGCACAGCTCCACAGTCTAATTCTACAATTTTCAGCCAGTTTCCTAAAGTTGAAAAAGAGAGAGAATTAAATATTTGTAGAGCCCACTACATGTAAAAAAAAAAAAGTCTTAAAGAGCCCTGCTATATACCAGAAAATCTTGAGAAATTATCAGAGCTGGCTTCTCATTTAAATGCGGTGTCTTAAAACAACTAATCTGAAAGTATATGATATGACAGCTATTAAAATAAAACTATTTTCTTGAATAAAAATTTAAGAATTATATTTATATATTTTAGTGGTTTTTTTTTCCTCATAAATCTGAGAAAGTAAAATAGATTTTGAATCAACAGTGTACCTAGCCAAAAAGACAAAGTCTGAGTGCCATGAGAGCAGCAGGATAGTAAGAGCAAGGCTGTACTTTTCCACATGGTTCATGCCTGTGACATGCTGCGGGTTTCTCTTGGGGTCTGCACGGCTCAGGGATCTGTCTTTAAGGTTCCCCATCTCCAGAGCCCCCCACACAATGAGGACCGTGATGGATTATGCCGAGGTGCGAGGCGTGTATCTGGATGCCTTCCCTGGATTTCCTCTCGTTCCAAACTACTGTGAAAGCAAAACAATGCGGAGGAGATTTTGGGCAGAGTATGTGTGCATGGGGAGTAGGGGACTGGGCTTAAAAATAATATATTTCACAAGCTTAATCATTATTTACATTAGGAAGTTTTGCAAACCCAAAGCTGTGACAACAAAGGAGCCACAAATCATGTGCAAATTCCACTCACTCCCTTCTCAGTTACTTAAAATTTTATCAGAATCCAATCGAGTGAAAAAAAAAAAACAAATCACAGAATCTATTCTACTTTATAATTGTTTAGAAAGTAGATGGTTTGCAAACCTTGGTTGTAAGGTGTGTTATAATAATGGCAAAGTTGAAAACGAATGCTTTACAGCATTTCACCCAATTTGTTATGTAAACCAGAGCAGACGGTATGATACTCAAAAAAAGCCAAGTACATTTGCCTCAACATAAAATAAGACTGATTGAATTTCAAACTTCATTTATTTTGTAGAGCTGAAATTTTAAGTACCTTACTGCTGTTCAAAACCTGCAACATGATCTTCTTTTTAATAGTCAGATGTACATATACGTACACCATCATTTCATGTATGTATTAATACAATGCTTGTGTATGTTTTTCTTACTTGGTTAATGGTAATTAGTTATCATAGGACAGAAATAATTTTCAATTTGAAGCATGTTGTCTGCAGCATGTTCAGGAACTGTCAGCCTGGGTGACAGTGCCTTGGCTATGAACTATATACCCCCACGTGCTCTGGCACATTAGAGCAATATCTCTGCATTTGGAGCTTCTGAAGTCAAGTTCCAGAGGTTGACTTCAGAGATCTTGCAAATCCAATAGTACAAGAAATCCTTTACTGGAGGAAATCAAATCAAGCAAAACTGCTTTCTTGGAGAAGGTCCTGGAGCCATATGTGAGGAAAGAGATAGCAGAAAGAGGAAAAAATGGAAAATCTAAACTAAGAAACACAAGCAAAATATTAAAAATACACAAGTATCAATTATGAAACAGCATCTACTTTGGTTTTCTATACTATCTTTTCTCCCTTTTGCAAGAATTATTTATCACATGAAATCATTTTCTTAATAAATGTGTATTTTATTAGTACCAACCTAGTTTTATTAGTATTAACCTAGAAAACCAGAATAAATATGTAAATATGTAAATATATATGTATATATATATAGTCCCTATTTTGTATATATAAAAGCAGGGCGAGTCTTCTTTTGTTTATTCACTATTTTTAGCTTAGTCTTCTCTGCCTGTACTCAGTCACTGTCACTGCAAGCCAAGACACTTGCAGTGCCACGCAGTGCTCACGGTGGCACAGGTTAGATCAGCCACACCAACTCGACACAATTGTTCCACAAGTTGAAAAGTTCAAGCTATTTATTTAATGTCATGCACGTAAACCCAGGAAAAGAAACACACTTGACAGACAAATTCTACCTGATGAGTCTGAAACCCAAGGCAATGAGTCAGGATAAGGATTAAAATGAACTGTTTAAGTTAAAAGTAATTTTGATTTACTTAATTAGGCAAGTGAATTCAGAAAATGGTCTTTTTGCCTTAAGAGAAAGTCTGATTTCACATCTATCCTGTGGTGAAATCATCTGTGTGGTTTTCTTACAGGCAAAGACATTAAACGGAATGAATATTAACCTGTGATTTTACAGATCCTAAGATGGGCATATGGGATTTGACAGCATAGGAAGGATGTATCTTCCACCTTGACTGAGAACACTGTTCATGTGGTTCCAAGGAGGTCTACCAATTTGCTGCCCTAGAGCAGATCATGCTGACCAATCTCATCCTGATCTACACAGTTGAGGGAGAAGTTTAATTACAGCAGTGTTTTTCAAACTCCAGGTTTCGCTAGTAACTCAGGAAATCAATTAAATCAAAGTCCAGGGAGAACTTGTCATGCAAAATACATTTTAACTGTAGGCTAAAGAAGCTTGAAAGACCCTGAATGAAAGTATTTGAAGACCATATATTTTGAATATTAATATTTTTTTTCATTTATTTCCAAATGTCTAGCCCCACAACTTCCAGTTTCTACACTTACTTTAAACAAATGCAGAAAAAAATGGGACACACACAAAAGCATACAGCAACTCCTAGGAATGGAGAGAGGCGCTAAAATGGAAAGCTGCTTCCCTTCCCAAGAGCCTACACTAACTTGTTGGAAAACAGAAAACACGGCCAGGGGGAGAAAAAGTGTAGGATACAGGAAAGTAAGTTTCTAGGATAGTGGGACTCTGGGATGCGTCTGTTTTCAAATCCACGGGGCCTGATTTTGCTGAGCTGTTAGATGAACATTGGCCCTGCACGGGGTATGTGCGCGTATGTGTGTATATATATAAATACATATAATCACAGTCTGGGAACAACTCTAATACAGTGTGTAAAGCAGGTACGCCCGTATCAGAGCACTGGTTTGAGTCCATATGGCTCTGCTTCTGATCCAGTTTCCTGCTTATGCTCCTGGACAGGCAGTGGAACATTCAGAAGATGAGGGGCGCTGAGAACAGAGGGAATAGAGATCAAGTGCCAACTCCCAGCAAAGGGGAGCTCAGTTCTGACTTTTCACAAAACCTTCATGGAGATTTGTTCCTAGGAAAAGAGAAGTAATGGAGAACTAAAGATGACATCACAGACTGAGAACTTTGGGGTCCTTGCTTAAAGAAGGAATCGGGGAACAACTGCTTATATTTTTGAAAATGACCCAATTATGTATCTCAGAAACTACATGCACTAAACTGCTATGAAATTATCTTATTTGGTATTATGTAAAATTGTTTAAAATGCCCATTTGAATGAAGCAATAATTTCTATATGAGAAGCATGGTCATCTACAATAAAGAAATTTTACTTCTAGTTTTGCCAATTAAACGAACCCTGTCTGGGTTCAATGCTCTCATCTATTAAAAAGAAGAAACAGTATTTACAGTTCCTTCACGAATGTGTTATACTAACCTTAAAAAGGAATGCCAAAAAACATTTTACCTCTTGAAGCATTATGTACTATTTTGGAAATTGTCAACAAAATATTTGTTGAATGTTTCAATACATGTTGAGTATCAAGCAAAGCCTCTATCTTTCAGCTTGGGAGCATTTAATCATAACATGCAATTTATGTTTGATGTCTGCATAGCAAAGTTCCAGTGAATAAGCACACTAAACCTATTAAGTTCTAGAACAATATAATTAGCTCTCATGGGACAGTTCCTTTGTGACATTGTGTTTGTGGGTTTTTTACTTTATTTTTTTAATACACAGAGAGCCAAACATGGCAGTCTTGGAGTCATTTGTAGTCTTAAGCTTGGAAAACTAAATATCCCACAAAACTTTCTAGTAATCAACACTTCTAAAGTAAACACTGACCTATGGGCGATTATACCACACTGACTGAATACTGAGTCTACAATATGAACTAAGCCTTTCCTGGCCTCCACTTCCACACCTGTCCATTTGAATATGAACAGTACCTATTTACACTGGGATGTTCACAGAATTACATAAGTAATTAATATCTATGAAAAATGTCCCCTAAATTTTATCCTGCCACCATCACTAATATTGTGATGAAAGTCTACATTTGATGTATTTCCAACTGAACTGGATATTTGACTAGCAGTTTTAATTCAAAGTAATGTTGCCTTTTATATAAATATATGTTAAGTGAAGTTGTTGCCATGGGAATAGTGAATAAGACAGGAAAAGTTGCGACAAGAATTGGAACTTACCCTGAATTTTCAACGAGAATATTTTCATAAGGTTTCTACAAAATTTGCCCGTGTGCGCACGTAATCACTTTGGATGATTTCTGTTCTTTCTTTAGATTAACCGACGCACACAAGCTCAACCATTCAGACACCTGTTCTTGCTCTGAGTCTTTCCCAGGACTGAACGACCTCACATGCCCTCCCTCCTTTCTGTCCTGCCATGTCTCCTCTTGCACCAACCCTTCCCCAGTTATTGTAGACTAGGACAGCAGTATGCCCTCAACTGAGCCCTTCTCTTTCATGGTGCTTTTTTTTTTATTTTGTTTTGTTTTTTGATGCCATCATGTTGGGTGATGTGTTACAAAAGTTGCTGTGAAGTGTTTCTTCTTTCTCAGCCCAGAGGTCCCTACTTCTTATCCATCACAATGCTTCATATACCACCCAGTCAGCAGAATACACACACACACACACTGAAGATTCCACTGAATGAAACAAAAAAAAAAAAAAAATCACAACCAGCCCAGGAGAAACTCCAGGATGAGAAAGGAACGCACCGAGTACATACATCATGCTTCTACCTTTCGACACCCTCCCCAAGGGATCACTGCTGCTTGACTAGCTCTTTAAGTATCGGGAGGTCATTCACTACATAGAAACTGAAAATTTACCACAGCTGCAAGTATCGTGCTCATTCTCCCTTCAGTTACTGTTAGAGATCATGGATAGAGTACTGATGATGATCTATAACATTTCTATATTTATCGGCATACTCAGTGGTACTAAGATGAAGGATGGCAACCCTTGAAAATGACTTTTCCATGTTGTTAGGGCAAATTTTTGGCACCTTTGGTATAAGACTAATGTCAGAAAGCAGCTGTTTCAGAAATACTGAAAGTACCTGAGGAAAGGAGAGCTAGAAAATCAATATTTCAGTTACTTGTGAAATTAAGGTGAAAATATACTACTTAGTTACAGAAAGCTATTTTGAAGCAAAACATGTATGTAATGGAAGGTAGAGGGAGGGGAGGGTTAGGCATGCAGAAATAAGGTTAAGTATCAGAATGTTGTTTTTAAAATACCTATTAAGCACTATACACTATATATTTCATGTATATAACTAGAATCTTTGAATTGGTTAAGGTATTTATCCCTTGAAGAAATTATTTGAAAAGTCCTTCTCAATATATATGACACCTTATTATTCCCAGACATGGTGAAAATTATTGTCATTGTTGAGCATCTTATGCAAGATCCCGTACGTATATTAAGCCTTGGAATGATTTGGAAAAAGGGTGGTCTTTGCCTTTAAATAAAAAGTTATTTTTAAAAGCTTAGCACAGAGAACACACACAAAAAGAACACTGAAACTTACTAAGTACAATATCAGTAATATAGATCAAGTAGTAGGGAACTCCATGAATAAAATGAGGAATGAGAGGTAGAGAGAAATACCTTTTAAGATGGACATATAAACAAGGGAAATTTGCAACAATAGAAGATTTTGCAATTTAGTACTATTTTGTAAGAAACAATAAAAGCTATCTATATTTAAATAAAAGAGTGGAGAGAGAGAGCCTGAGTAATCAACAGTAAACAATAAGACATCCTTTTTGACTTGCAAATGCATTTTCTAAAGTTCTTCTCTGTCACTTTATAACTATTAGAGTTATTCCTGCTGACAAAAGGAGTTGAATTTTACCCAGCAATTTTGGAGCAGCTTGAAACACAATTTGAAAATGAAACAAAGCATAAAAGGAGAAAACCGAGAATTCCATTTGAAATGGGACATCATCTTATGAACACATATCTAATAACACAAAAAGTAAGATGATGGAGGAAAGAGCAAAAATTATTTTTTGGTGAAAGACTTTTTTTTTCTTGAATAATTTATCAGTATTCATTTGGCAAGAAAAGAGAATCATTCTTGAAACTGGCATGAGCCAGAATGTGTTTGGGGATTTCCTTTGTTTCTTGGGTGTGCTTACCTTGATAATGTAACCCAGATCCCAATCTGGGTTAACTAACAGCTAAAGCATCCCAAGAAGAGGAAGAGAAGGCACAGCCTATTAATCTTTCAACAGTATTAGAAGGTCAGCTAAGCTGGGGTGAGGTACGGGTCACACCAAAAGGAAGATTAATGTCACCAGGACACTCCCTGTCATTCTTCTTGCTCTCTGGAAGGAGATAAATTCCCTTTTTCTCCTTCTTCTTCTTTTTTTTTTTTAAATGAGCAGGGTATTTCTGACACTGAATCCCACCAAAATGCAAGCTGCGGGAATGTGGAAATAACAGCCCCATGCAGGTAGCACAGGGCCCAGCAGGTAACAGCTGCTTGCATATGTCTGCTTGCTTGCTTTCTTCTATTTGAAAGGTGGAGTGAGAGATATTGACTCTCCATATTGATTCACTGCCCCAATGCCAGCAGCCTGGAACTCGGGCTGGGTCTACCACACGGGTGGTAGGAACCCAAGGAGGATTTGGGTTGTTTCTCACTGTTTTTCTCAGTCCCTTTAGCAGAGACGGGAATCAGAAGCAGAAGAGCTAAAACTCACATATGGAATGCTGGCATTATAAGGGGGTGGCTTAAGCACAACAGTGGCACCAACATCCATATTCTTTACAGTCTGTCCCATGGAACTTCAACTGAAATGACATCGCTGACACTCTGGGCACCATGATCCCCCTGACATGGGAAGCCTTGTACTGAGCATGATCTGAAAGCTTTGTGGGGGGTCTGGTGGTTGTGTTTCCTATCAGGTAGAGAAGCACTGTGCCCTAGGAGAGGCAAGGCAGCCTGGGACCTGCAGTGGAGCAGGCCAGCCTGTGGGCAGTGATGACCTTGAAGGTCACCGGCGGGCCAATCTCAGTAGCTGTTTTTTACATTTCTATTTCTTTTTTTTTTTGATTTATTTAGTTTTTATTGGAAAGGCAGACATATATATAGAGAGAGAGGAGGAGAGACAGAAATATGCTCCATCCAATGATTCACTCCCTAAGTGACTGCAACGGCTGGTGCTGTGTCAATCTGAAGCCAGGAGCCAGGAGCTCTACTGCGTCTCCACGCGGGTGCAGGGTTCCAAGGCCGTGGGCTGTCCTTGACTGTTTTTCCAGGGCACAAGCAGAGGGCTGAATGAGAAGTAGAGCTGCCGGGATTAGAACAGATATCCATATAGGATCCTGGCATGCTCAAGGAGAGGACTTAAGCCACTAGACCATGGCGCCAGGCCCTACATTTCTATTTTACTAAAGGTTATTTGACAACTTGAGAAATCTTCAAGAGGGTATTTCTAAAGATCCATAGGTGTGCCTAAGTCAGAAGTAATGTGATTAAGAACCCTGGAATAATCTAGGTGTTTTTACAGCTGTCCCAACACAGAGGTCTTTCTGATTAAATCCTCTCTGGAGCCCCTATCCACCCACGCACTGCCAACACTGACTTCCCCAAGCCTCAATGCATGAGCTGATTCTTGCTCTTGTCTTCCTCTTAATCCCAAAGTCATACTTTTCTGAAGGAGAAGACTTCCCCTAGTAGTAACAATCTGGCTTAGGCAGGTTAGGGAGGGCATCAAAGAGACAGGGAGAGACTAGCAGATGTCTGACCGCTCAGTCGTGTTTTCTGTAAACAGGAAATCAACACTCGTGGGGAGCTAGGATGATCAGAGAGAAAGAGAGAGAGGCAGAGACAGACATCTGTTATTGTAGGCACTGCCAGCATGCCACCAGGCCTGACCTGGGTGGTGAACGCACCTCCACTGCCTTCTGTGGTACACAATGTGATGTGGGCTGACAGAAGCAGCAGATAGGAGGTTGAGGAGCACGCCCCAGGCGATGGACTGGCTTCCGCCTCATTCTCAAGCTCCTGAGTCTGAATTCTTTCCCCAACAATGTCGCTTATGACAAACATGTGTTCAGCGACAGAAGAGTGACACAATTAGATTTCTCCCTAAGGAGTGATTTCCCAACACTGTATTTTCCATTTAGCTGTGCCTGAATTATTGATCTGTTTATAATTGCTATCCTTCACCATAAAGATCTGTGCTCAATTTGGGGAGGCAGAAGTCTATTAGCCTGATGGTTTTCTTCACGACGACTGTATCACATAACAATTAGAGTGAAGAGAACTGCGTGACAGTTGGGCTAGGTGTTTCTGAGCGCTCTAACACCACATTTGACAAACGATATGCCAGGTGAGCTTCTGTTGCTTAATCAACGCATCCTTGCACAGGAATCTTCAAACACCTTACTCTACCAGACACATATAACAGCCAGCACCACAGAAGGGTCTGGTCAGGGGAGAATAACCACCCTACAGATGAGAAAGGCTAAAGAAAACACACTGAGGATGGGCTGGCCTGGTGGCTCAACAGGATAATCCTCCACTTGCAAGTGCCAGCATCCCATATGCATGCCAGTTCATGCCCCAGCTGCTATATGCAGTATCTAGATCCATGATTATGGCCTGGGAATGCAGCAAAGGATGGCCCAAATCTTTAGGCTTCTGTACCCACATGGGAAATCCTGAAAAATCTCCTGAATTCTGGCTTCTGGCTTCAGATCAGCTCAGCCGCAGCCATTATGGCCATTTGGGGAACGAAACAGCAGATAGCAGATCTTTTTCTCTCTCTCTCTATGTATCTGCCTTTCAAATAAATATAAATAATTTTAAAAGCAGGATTATGATGTAATCTCATGAAGATTGAAGTCCCCTTATACCAGATCTACATGAAATATCACAATTTCTAGGTAACTTCAATAACCAAAAAGTTCTATAGGATGTGTGTCTGCCTGTCTAGATTTTAAATATTTTGGCTTCTTTGAGAGGCAGACGCAGCTTTCAACTGTTGTGCCCCTCCCTCAATTCCTGTAAGAGCCAGAGGGCAAAGCTGGGGGTCAGGAACTCAGGCCACATATCCCACTCGGGTGTCGGTACCCCGTTTCTTCACCCGCCACTGCCTCGCAGGAGCTGTACTGTCAGGAAGCTGGTTCTTGGATGCAGACAAGCCACAAGCTCAGGCTCCACAGGGGAAGTGGGTGGCCCGATCAGCATCTCAACCGGTAGGCCAAACACCCACCCCCAGTGTCCCAGCCAAGGAGGGAAAAAGGCATCTGTTTCTCCTTCCTAGAATGTATAATGAACACAGAGAAAGGGAACACAGACGGCCTCCTCAAGAGGAGCAGGTATCGCCAGCAACAAGCTACTTCTGTGCTTACAGTGAACAATCCTTTTTCTGCCTTTTGAACAGCAATGACTCACGTGGTGCAAGCAAGTTACTAGGGAGAAGGATGAGCTGAGTGGAGTTTTCAGTTCAGGGGAGCCCTAACATTTTGGAGAAGAGAATCAACAGACACACAAAGACTTTGACTAGGAACTCTGTGAACAGCCTAAAGGCTGGAAAGGAGGGCGGGGGATAGGTGGTACAGACAGCTTGGCAGCTGGGGTGGCAGGTACCAGGAACAACACGATGGCCTTCTCTTTGCCGTAGAGGGAGTGGGATGGGCAAGGGAAAGTGTCCAAAATGTTCACTTCTGCTTTCTCTCAGACCATATCAGTAATTCTCAAACTTTTTAGGATGTTATTGCTATTAGGCAGGTTGTACAAAGTCATTGCCAAGGCAGCATCATCTAGAAATTCTGATGTAATTAGTCTTAAGGAATGCTCACGCATCGGCGGGCTTTGGAAACATTCCAGCAGTTCTAATGTGCCCACAGGGCTGAGAGTCCCGCGCCTCAAAAATTCAAGAATACAAGATCAGGTGAAGCATACTGGCAAGGTTCTGACATATTTTCACCATACTCTAAGTAAAACAAAATCCTAAAGTTTTAAAAAAACACCAGAGCACTGAGATATGGCTAAACACTACCACCAGTAAACACGGGAGAAACCAAACCTCTACCAAGACGCAGGAAGAGAAAGCAGGGAGCAGAACCTTACGACAATCACGTCTATCCCCCACCCTGTGGGAAAACACTGATTAGCCATACGAGGCTACCTTACAACGCTCTTGGGAAATGGAGTTAAGGGACACTGTGCATTTTCCAGGAACTTTTGAAAATACCCTTATGTACCCCGTGTTAATTACTACATGCGGGAACGTGAAACCACACATTAATTCCACGTTTTATCAAAGATGAAACTGAACATCAGACAGCCGTGGCCAGAGGACAGATGCAACAGAGATGGGACAGGATCCTAGCTCCGTCCAAAGTCCAAAGTCTTTTGTTTTTTCTCTCATTTCTACACTGTTGCACTTTCACAGATAGGTACTGGGCACTAACTTCATTTAGAGCCTCTCTATAAGTTTAGCAGTGTCTTCCATCATGGAGCATCAGAAGGGTTCATTCTGAGGGATTTAATCAGATTTCTTGATTATGAGCAATTTGACAATTGTTGGTGAATACGTAGAAGGCAGAAATAAATAGAAAACTGGAGCAGGAGCTAGGGAGCGCCAATCAAGGACCTCAGAAACCAGATGAAGAGTCTGGACTGAATGAATACACTCCTGAGTGGAGACATCTGTATGTGCACAACCTGGCTCAGTATGCCCTGGGCCAGAGACAATTCTCTCAGGCCTAGACAACAGAGAGATAGTGGAGGTTTTAGCAAGTCACTATACACAGGTGCCGAAAAGCAAGCTACAAGGCAAGAGCAACTTATCAAAACACTGCTTTTCCGACACAGATGTGGTAAAACAGTAACAAGGAATTAGCAATATTTTTTTAATATAAGTCTTCTAAAAAGATTTTAGTTGTAGATTTTTTTAGTAGCTGATAAAATACAATTCCCCTACCAAGGACTTATGGTTAGCATGACATCCTTGTACTGGAGTCATTTATTAGCATACACCAAGGCCAACTACAAAAACATAATGGATTATTAATTTCCCTCAAGGTAGAAAGTACATGCTCAAATTTTAATGGACAAATCAAAAAATCAGGAAAGAGAAAATGAAGCCAATTCAGATTGTTATAAAGCTGAGTATTTAACTGAAACTCCGTATTTGGGTTAAATACAGAAATTGACAAGAACAAATATCTAAATCTGAAAAAATGGAAAACTCAACACTTCAAATGATTTAAAGTTGTAACAAGTTTAGCAGTTAGAATGCCAACAAAAAATCCATCTGATATGACATTGTTTTAAATAAATAAACAAGGTAGTCTTTTTGTTAGTTATATTAATTCTATCAAACATTTGTCTTGAAAACTTATTTTCACTGACTAGTTCTTTTGGCTACACGCTTCATTCTGTGAGCGTATGCACAAACATGTTCACTGCACACGTATATTTGTCGTACATGACAATGAACTGATATGCACATTTGTTTCATACTGGTTCTTAGCTCATGATTGTTTGCTTTTTTGCTTTTAGTATCACCAGAATTACCATAAACGAAGACAGTTTCAACAAGATAGCTTTTGATTTCTTTAAAAAAAAAACTTTCAATGATTTTTAATTGTTTATTCCTGAAAAGGATAAGGACAATAGCCCATTACATACCATAATCTGTGATTTTACAGGACACCAAATACAGCTCTTTCAGGTTTTGTCCTTCCTTTGCAATGACCTCCACACACCTGAAACACACACAAAAAGTAGTGAGTTACACTAATGCATCTCCAGTTAAATTAGTAAGGGTTTGGCCACGAACGTAGCGGGAACAGGTCAGCATCTGATGAATGCCAGGGCTCTCTTCTTTCAACAAACCTCTTTCAAGGTGTTTCAGAAAAAGGTATTATATTCCCTGCTTTAAACTCAAGTGGCTCTAATACCTAAATGGGCTTAATTAAATGTATTTATGACTAGAGTATCTTTTAAAAGCAAAGAAGTGAAAAAAAGATATTCCTGTAAGATTAATTTCACTTTTGATAATAAAACATTAGTAAGTAGATGTTATACAATGAACATATGTCATGTATTTTATTAAAAAAATAATAAAATAATTCTAGTACCACTGTAGAACACAGATAAAGTCAGTATACACATTGCTTAATTCAACTGCTAATGCTGCAGTTTCAGAACACGGGTGTTAAACTTTAGGCAACACAAAACAAAAGCATTTTAATGTAACTTTTTATAAATACGAAAGAAAAATCTACACACACAGAAACTTTAAAATTTTCAAATTGTTTTGTTATTATTTTCAATGAACTGCTGTGTAGATTTAGGCCATCTTAATAATACCGATATGAAAGGACATATTTAAATTTTTTTCTGGCTTCACTTAAGTTAAAAGGCTTTCGAATGGCGCACTCTCTGCTCTAATAGCCCTGGCGGAACAGAGCGCAGAATGGAATGAACTTTAAAAATAATGATTAAAGACACTATCCATTTTGAGGCTCAGCTCTCGGTAATAGCAGGAAACCCGTACAGTCGCACTGACACACAGGCCTATGCACCCTTCGAAGCAGTCCCAGTTTTAATCTTTATAAATAACAGTTAAGTAAAAGGGTAAAAGCAAAAAGAGTCATTAACCTTTTCTAGGAAGTAAGGATCAAGTAATTTGATACCTGTGTGTATAATCCATCAAAAAATTACCCAGGATCCATCTCTGTCTTTCAGATATTTTATTGGCTGTCTGGCTTATTTGTAGGTATCTTCATAAAATGTCAGAAAATTTTATATGATTTTACTCCACATAACTCATTTTTGAAGGTTAAATTAGTTATACGTAGGACATATTTTTTCTTTTAAAATATTTTTTATAGAATTTTAGTCTAATGGAAAGATAAACATTCAAACTTCCAAGGGATAACTGAATAAATATTCCTTCTTGCCTTTTAAAAAGATCTTTAGGACAACCTTGTAACAAGATTTATGATAAAAATGGCTAAGACTCTCCATTAATACAACAGAAAATTTACAGCAATAACACAATGAAATTAGAATTGATACAGATTGTTGTGAAGGAAAATTTTAAAGCATAATTTCATTCCTTTTGGATTCAGTGTAATACTTCAAAAAATCACAAATAAGAAATTTTTAAAAAGCAAAGTGAAATAGGGATAAGAACCATATCCTATGTCCTATTTAAAGCACTCATTTTTACATGCTAAAGATATAAATCAAGGCCCTGAATGATTACAAAGTCTTAATAGTTACAAGAGAATCCAGCCCTTTTCTGTAAAAGCAAAGGCACACCTCATTGTCCTCCTCCAGCCACCAAAAAATCAGCAAGTCCAACACTTTCCCTGATCCCCGGAAATCATTAATTGCACCTGTCTCATGTACTACTGAAAGTTTTTAAAAAATGCTGGATCCCATGTTTATGAAGAAATTCGAAATAACTATTCATTTGTGTTCCTTCGACTTGATTCTACTATCAGATACACTGCAAACACATACACACATTAAAGCCACTCAGAACAGACTCCAAACAGCATATGACACAGAACTGATTTCAAATCCAATACTGCTTCATGGTGGAAAAGGGCTAGTATTTACAAAACAGCAGCTAATCAATCACTGGGTAAAGATGGATGAAAGGCATGAACATGGGTCTCTTCCCTGCAGGCAGAGACAAGCCTAGGAGGTGTGGACGCTGGAGAATAAACACTGTGAAAATGCTTAGCTCGCTCAGAGTTGGTATAGTAACCAAGAGATAGCATGTTGATTACAGAGTAAGTGGTAATAAACATCCTTCAGACAAAAAAGAAGAAATATAAGAGAAAATGCACTTTCTTTTTTTATTTTTACAAAGAATACCTATTAATTTTGTTCTGTACATGGAAGTTCACTTACACAAAGTTTTCCAAATACTCTTAACTGTCTTATAATCACAGTTAGTGTGCCAGAAGTTACCCATAGCGTACAACCGCTTCTTGGATTCATGGAGAAACACAAAAACAACAACAACAATAAAAAATTGTTTGGAACATCTGTAGCAAAATTTTATAACATTCTCCCATGTTGGGAGAGAAACCAAAAGTTGTGTGACTCTGTGCTGAAACTTTTTGGAAGTTCAAACATAGCACTGAGTGGCTGAAAGAAATAGCTAAACACCGTTCTTACTGTGGGTGGGTTCGAATGGAACCACCTTCCCTTGCCCCTGCTTGGTATCTGTAGCCATACAGTTTGTCTAGGTCTAGTTTCAGGCAGCAAGTAAGTGCCAGCAGGTTACAATGAAAGACCCCGGGTAGTGACTGGTCTTTCCTTGTAAAACTTTTGAGTCTTAATCTTGAATGTGTTTACAGGAAGTACCCTAACATAACACAAGTCTGGGAAGCACATGGACTTATTTAAAGTCAACTCTACTCCATGCAGTCTTGGCTGTCATCGCGGTCTTTAGTCGGACCGATTCCCAGCTCTCTGTGCTTGTGTTTGGGGAAGGCAACGGGGTATGTCTCAGCTATTCTTTTAACTTTTTTGAGGCAGGCAAGCCTTTTAAGGAATATTTTTAAATGCTATCAGTAAGAGATCTGTCTGAAAAATGATAATCCCCAAGTAAGAAGGACAATGATAGAACCAGTGATGGCACTTAAAGCCTTTCCTTCATCTGCTTCCTACTCACAGGTAGCACATAGGAGATCGTTAATCACAGGGAGAAGTTACACTTTTGTCCTCAAGGGCAAACTATGAGGCTTGATCTCAGAATCCAGAATTGAAACATTCCCCATTCCTCTGCCCACCCCGTGTCCCTACTATCCCGAAGGACAAACCTCAGAATTTCATATGACCAATATTCTCTATGGGACAAGTACATTGCAAGATTTCCCACTTCGTGCATGACAACATACGGAATTATAAAACCCAGGGAAAAAAAATGATATCCTCAGGGAAACTAGCAATCTATATGATTATGAAGAAAGAAATTCATAATCGGAGGAAATGGCAGAGTGGAAAAATGCTGAAGAACATCAAATACTGTCAAAGCAGGCCGTGCACAGCAAGCACAGCCAAGCCTGCCGTGCCACCTCCCTCCAGTCTGAGAAAGGAGAGCTGTGTCCCATCAAGAAGCAGCGCCGATCCGGAGGCCACTCAGCCCCACCTCCGCTCTGGGGAGTGACCACCTGCCTCCTTGCAGCCCCACCGCTCTGTGTTCCAGAAAATGAGGCTCCATAGGAGAAACAGCTCCATACCAAATGTCCTCGGTTCACTGAAACAGACTTAAATTTATTCTAAATGGCCTCTCCCCTCTCGGATTATTTTCAGGCTTTTATGTTCTGGCATGGGCCTGAACAAGTATTAAAAACAAAACAAAACAAAAATTGCTACCATTGTACAGTCTTGAGTAATATCTGTTGAGTATGTATACAAATGAGTGCATACATATATATACATACACGCACACATATATAAAGGAGTATATATACTCTTTCAGAGACAGAAGTGCTAGAAAACCTGCTCCAAAGTATCCAGAGCATCTAGAATTTTTTGATAATAGTGTGATTTTGTGCCCGCTTGCTTTTGACAATGTTCTAAAATGCCCCTGGGACATCTGATGGAGACTGACAAGCAAAAGAAAGGTGGCCTTTTTGTGGCACGCAGGGCTTTTCTTTCCCGCAAAGACAATAAGGCATTACTTAGTTTCAGTGGAGAGAAATCTGTCTCCTTAGCAGTAAATTCCTAATCACCTGATTTATGTGAAGGGTAAAGGTTAATGAATTAAGCTGTGTAAGCTTCAAAACTATCAAAGGAATTCAAAAGAGCCTTGAATTATGGAAAACAATGGCCCAGTCTACATACATACCAAATTTTTATGTTTTTTTTTTTTGTCTCCTACTCAAAAGCTGGAACATGGCATTAGTGACAATTGAAAAGAACTAATGAGGAAATATGACTGCACTGCTTGCAAGAGGAGTGTCCTAGGAGACCTTGTTACTGTTTGTGATGTGCCTCAAACCCAAAAGAAGCTAATTGGAGCTGCCAGACACTGGTTTGCAAATCTCACTTTAAAGGACAGGCTCAATCACTTCAGAGGTGTGAAAAGAAATGTCCCCATTAGGTATGCATTAGTGTGTGCCTTGGTGAATTTCTAAATAAACCTGAGGATACTCTTTCCTAAGTCACTTTTATATGTGAGTAATAGGTCTATCTTCAAGCAGTGCGAAAAAATACTACAAGACAAAAACAACCGCAAAGGTTTAAAACTAAAGAGTATGAAAAGTGCTGTGAATTGGCCATTTGGTGCAATGGGGAGGCAGCTATCTTAAGGTTGAGTAAGTCTGTGGATCATACCTGAGAATTCCTGAAATGGAAAGAGAACCATAAAAGTGATATATTGCGACTTTTAGAAATAAAATGTCATTTTCTTCGTTTCTTGAAACTGAAGACGACAAGCAAACCTGTGTTATAAAGACTGGTAAGTAGAAAGAGGCTTAAGAAGCTGCACGATACACATGTGCAGGAAGAAGGAATAGAAAAGCTGGCTTTGATTCTGAGGAGCAAAGGGGAAGAAACTTATCCTGACAAATGCATACAGAGCCATTTAAAGGAGAACAGAGGTCGCCAGCCCACAGTTTGGCATCTTAACACAAAGAATGATGATACGTTATTGATTTTTGCAAAAGCTTCAAATCGAGTTTTACTGAAAAATAGTCCAATCCCAGCAAGAGTAAATGAAGAGTAGGCGTGATTT